CTTATAATTTCAAAAGAATGTTAAAAAATATAAAAATGCATATGCAAATTAGCATTCCTAACAGCTAAACTAATTATATTTCTTAGCAGTGAAATTTTTTAAACTACTTTCAGCTATGATAGACATAAAGTTGGACCTTTTTCTAAGTCTTCTGAGACTGAAATTGAGTAAGATATTTACTCATTGTAGTACTCTGTACATGGTGATTATTTTCGTTACTTTTATTTATTTACTTACTGCAATGGTGGGAATCAAACCCAGTATCTCATGCTTTCTAGGCAATTGCTGTACCACTGAGCTACAACTCTGTTTCCCTCATTCTGTTGTTTCAATTGGGAGCCCACCTACATAAGACTGGGGTTTATGCAGGGTAGAGAAGATGTGATCATAATATAAGGATTTTCATGCACTAAGAGGAGATTTGGATTATCAGTCTAAGAACAAGGGCAGTCATTAACACTAATGTCAAGTGATGGAACTAGGGAATAATTCTGAAACCCAGTATGGCTTTAACGACCTCAGTAGCAGACAGTAGGGAAACTTTATACTAGTTCTGTGAGAAACATGACTCATGACTTACTCCTCTACTCTGGGTCTTTTTTATTATTATTATTATTATTATTATTATTATTACTTTATTTTTTGGCTCATATATAGGTGATTGACTTTAATTTTAATGAATTATCGGTTTACTCTGGGTCTTTTAACTACTATATCATTTTTACCCATAACTGACCAGCATGACCCTTTTGGGCTCAAATTTCATCTCCTTTGTGACTCTACCTCATAGCTGCATTCTGGAACCCTTTACTGAAGTATATTTTTCTTTCTAAATTAAGATCCTGCAAATAAGAATAATAGGTTCAACTCAAATTTCATGTCAGACCCATCATAATTGATGTCCAGGTTAAAGACATAAGTGACCTATTCCTTAGGTTAGGTACCTATACCTCACCAATTGACAGGTTACACAACAGGGCCATCTAGATCATCCCTTCATCAAGAGCTAGGGACACACTGACATGACTCCTCAGTGACTACTTGTGTAAATTCTCTTAACTGGGAATAATTCACCCATTTTTGTCCTTTCAGATTTGATGGTATTTTTCCCAGGTAATATTTTCTATCTAAGATTTAAAAACACAAATATAAAATATTATAGTTCCTCAGGTTGATTTTTTTTTTTTACACTTTAAAGTGTAAGAAAAAAATCTTCCCTCCTCTTGAGATAAAAGGAGTGAATGTGAGCTAAACAATTTCATAGTCATAGCTAACCTATTTTATCACAGTTGCCTTTTCCACAACATAACATTTGGCTATTTATTTTAAAAGTACAGTAATAGAAAAATTTATGTCTGAGTGGATATAAGGTGGTAACACCATTTTGATAACTTAGCAAGTCACATCAAGCACCTGCCTGCCACAATGGATTGTATATATCAGCTATTCATTAGCTATTTCTTGAGTCAAATGGAGAAGTCTGCCTTTACATAAGTAAGCTCAAACTGTAGCAAAAATGCATAATCTGTCAAGGGCTACAGTCATTGTCACCTAGGATTCAAATTGTAAATATCATTGCTCCCACAGTGATGAATTGACCAGCGACTAAAAAATGACTAAGTGGGATTTCACAACTTGAAGACCATGAAATCCAAGACCATGAAAAGCTGCCCACTTCTAATTACACACAAATAAAACTTTCATTTTAAATACAGTTATTAAAAACAATATTATTATATGGGGCTGGTGTTGTGGCTGAGCAGTAGAGTGCTCGCATAGCACGTGCAAGGCCCTGGGTTCGATCCTCAGCACCACATAAAAATAAATAAACAAAATAAAGATATGTGTCCAACTACAACTAAAAAATAAATATTAAAAAAATTATTATAACAATCAATGATAATGATTATGTGATGGATATATAATTATTATTACTATTTCATGAAGAAATCCATGAATAAATAAGATTAAGGAGCACTAATAACTGTAATTTCACCAAAAAATAAAATGATTAGAATTAATAAAAATTAATTAATGGAAAAACATGTATTTATTATGGTGTTAGAGATTGAATCCACGGCTTGATGCATGCTGGGCAAGCACTCTACTGCTGAGTCACACTCCCAGCCTGCTATAATGAACATTTAAATATTGCACATTGAAAAATGGTGCGCCATCTAGAATTTATCAGGGTTGATGTGACTCATTCAATTAAAAGACTATTTGTGAGTGGTAAATATAAAGAAAATAGATGGCAGCCTTGTGAATACTTTTTTTAATTGTATATGTGTTTCTCACAACTTTAAGGAAAGAACTCAACAAGAATGAGTCTGGACACTTTTTCCCCTGCAGAATTTATTAGGCTGATACAGAATTTTGCAAAGACATGTTTCAGAATTGTTTTTCCATGCAAGAGACTTAATGGAGACACATTACTACTACAGTTTGAACAATAACAAAAAGACAAATCTTCACAGAACTAACTAATTAACTGAGATAGTTAATTATTAATTATCTTCAGTAGAGTCTTAGGAACCTGAAGATTTGTCTAGGCTACTACTTCATGTTGAAAGAAAGCTGTCATGTTCTCAGAATCAATTTTAATGTGTGATACTTTTTTCAGATGTGATTACTACTGTGTAAATTAATCCTGTGCTAGCTGTGGCTTGACTGTATCCAGTATTACAGCAGAATTTGGCACACTGGCATAGAAGAACCACACAACAATTACATATATACAAATTCATGCAACAATTAATTGGTAATGTGTTAGGTAGTGTTATTTTCCATTTTTATTATTGAGGAGTTCATCACCAATTATTTAGTAAGAAGACAGAAATAAATCCAGCTTTTAGATCTATCCATAATGATAAAACTAGGCCAAAATTAGCTTAATTTCAGCCTATTACCCTTCAAGGAGCCTGGGTTAAAAGAATCTCAGCACCACAGAAAGTGAAAAAACATAGCGAGAAGGCATAAATTTATTACAAGAAAGGTTAAATGAAATCACACTTATTCATTACAGGGGCAAAAGATACAGCCAGCTGGGTTCAATACAGCCATTTTTTATTAGTTCATTTTAGTTATATATAATATTAGGATTCATTTTGACATAATTATACAAGCATGGAATGTTATTTGCTCTAATTCAGTCCCCAGTACTTCCCCTTTCCTTTCCCTCCTTCCTCTCCCTGTTCCTTTTCCTCTATTCTAGTGATCTTCTGTTTATTCATAGTTGTTTTTTGTTTTTTGCTTTTTAATTAGTGCATTATCTTCCTTTGACATGGTCTAGTTTCACTCTTGACTGCATCATAAGGTCAACTGGTTAAGTCAGTCATCACATTCAAGACAACAGTCTATACGTGGATTAACCCAAAGTGGGGGCTAGTTTAACTGTAGTACAAGCTCACTTCTTGTAATGATTTCTCAGCCTTGTTTTTCTATCTTATACACCTACGTTGAAAAGAAAGCACTTTGGTTTCTACACATCCTGTGTGAACCTCAGTGTCATGTTCTCTCAAACTCCTTGAGTTCTACTACAAGTAGAGTACTGCTAGTGTAATAAACCCCTAAAATCCCAACATTAATAGTTGTATAGAGTGATATTTCAGCAAAAGACTGAGAAAGTAATGTCACTTTGTTTTGATAGCATGGTGAGTTTTGCAAAACTTACTATTTTAGGACTTGCCATCTGTTAGAATTAACTAGAATCTGTTAGATGTGATTCTGCTAAAAATCAAGTTTTCATTATTTTGTCAATATATTTTCATTATGGCTGTTTAACTTTTTTTACCTGCCTTTAGTAGCAGATAGAAAAAAAAGAAAATCATACATTTGGTTCATCATTGATGTACCATTAATCATTTTATATGAACTGAAATTTCTTTTTAGTGGAGTATTATGTATTAATATAAAATATTCTTTGTGGATTGGGATCTGAATTTTTTAAATTCTTTTTTTTAAACCAGAGCTCAAACTGATAGAAACATAGTTCTTAGAAATGCCCAGGACTGCTTCCTAAACAGTTATGCCAACTGCAAAATTTAGACACTGATAAGAATCAAGTAGTAAGATAAAACAAACTGAAAGTCTTACAGGTATCAAATTGATTCAATCATTAACTTGTAATTCAGCTAATAAAGAAAACATCTCTATAATGGATAAGGATTCTGTGTCACTATTAGCTTAGATAGCTCAGATCATGGTTAAAATTGTGCTTTCAATGAGAAAAGATAGAATGGGAACAATTTAAAATGTGAACTTCAGAAACATGAAGCATACATGGTAGATAGGATTTTTTTAATGTAAAGATTTAGTGATGAAAAGAAATTATGCTGGCTAGGTTTCATGGCACATGTCTGTAAACCCAGTGGTTTGGGAGGCTGAGGCAGGAGGATCTCAAGTTCAAAGCCAGCCTCAGCAACTTAGTGAGACCCTGTCTCAAAATAAAAAGGGCTGGGGATATGGCTCGGTAGTTAAGCACCACAGGGTTCAATCCCTAGTAGAAAAAAAAAAAAAAGAAAGAAAGAAATTATACTAACTTTGATTAGAAATTCTATCTTCTGATTTAAAAAAAAGGAAAAATGCTAGAAAATTCAATGCATTAAAAAAATACTAAGACTCTGAAAAATTTTTTGTTTGACAAAATATCTTGCTATAGGAAAAAGTTCAAAGTAATTGTCATAGTTTTAAAGAACACATAAGCAAATATTCAATTCCTGTTTTTTTATGCTTGGTAACTGTTTTTTGTTTGTTGTTGTTTTTGTTTATGTGTGTGTGGTGCCAAGGATCAAACCCAGGGCCTTGCATATGCTGGCAAGTGCTCTAGCACTGAGCTATATAACCCACTTCTCAATAACTTTTTGATTGAGATTTAATGTAGTTATTTACACGGCTGAGTTCAAAGACTGTTTTCCATGTTGTTTTCCTATATGTATGCTTAGTAGTTTTTCAAACTTTTTAAAATACCTTTCAGCATACCTGTCTTTTTACTCCCTCAGTAATCGTGTGGAAGCATGGACAAGAGATGTTGCTTTCTTACTCAGGCAAGAAGGCAGGCCTATGGTTAATCTTATCCCCAACAAGGCTAAAGAAAGAGTGATGGAAGCAGACTGGAGGAATACAGACAGAGCAATAAATTGGTTAAGAAAGGAAGCAATTAATTACACTAAACCATTTGTTCTGTACTTGGGATTAAATTTACCACACCCTTACCCTTCACCATCTTCAGGAGAAAACTTCGGATCGTCAACATTTCATACATCTCTTTTTTGGCTTAAAAAAGTAAGTGTATTATGTGTTCAAAAGCAGAAATAACATTATGTCTATAACTTATTAGTATTAGCTCATTGTTTCTACTTCACTCTTAAAGAAAGAAAATCACATATTTAAAATTGACTGGTTTAATAAAAACCATAGAAGCAGTTTTACAAAAACAAAATGTGTTAAAACTCAGAAACCTACTTCTAAGTTGAAAATATTTGTATATGATATTTCTATAAAAAGAGAAACTAAAGGACATTGTCTTAGGAGTGCAGGTAATCCTTACTTTGCACAGTTCAGGATAGGAAAAATGACCATGTGGTCTCATTGTGTACAATGATCTTAACTTTCAATACCAGAAAGGAGCATTTTTTTGATATTTTAAAAACATTTGTCACAACATGTAAAATGCTCTTTTTTTTTTTTGGTTATAATTGGAAATAGATAAATAGTAAAATTACTCAGTGCAGTGTAATGAAAATAATAGAAACATTAATAAAGTATTTTTAATTTGGGGTTTTTGTTTAAAAAATTTATTGAGAGAGACTAGTGCTTGTCTTCTCATGGTATTACATAATATAGAGCAAGAGTCCTCTTTATGACTTGGCAAATTATTATATTGTTATCTAAATTTGGAACATCTTCCAACATTTTATCTTCTGTACTTAGAATGTCATGGTATACTTCAAGTTTCTTTAAATGACATTTTTATCAATGTCACTTTCTCTTGAACATGTTTATCCTTTTCACAATGATATTCCTCACTTATGTCAATAAGTATGCCTTCCCTTCCTCTAGTTACATATCTAGTCTTTGGAATGGTAGCAGTGTCCACATTCCCAATCAGCCATTTCTTCTATAACTTCATTTACATTTACTATGAATTTCACTGCTAGCCTTATCACTTTTCATTTCTTTACTGCAGATTCGTATTTGTTGACCAATTCCTCTTTGATTATCCATTTTTGTAAAGTGTCTTACATGGATTTATCACTGGGAGACAAGGAGGCAGGCCAAGTATACACTTAGCTTACAATGCATGTTCTGAATAACCAACTCCTGACATACTTGGAAAGAAAATATATGATTAGTCACTGAATGTGATGTACATCTGTTATCACATCGTGAATTGTAGACTAAAGAGTTAGCAGCATATTGGTGTGAAGTTCGTAATTTATGTAGTTATTCAGTTAATATACATTGGCAACTGAAATTTGAACCCTGTTGTCAGGGACATGTTAATTAAACCATGATAGTTGAAATTTATGCATTTTAGAACCATGTGAAGCAACAACTACCTATATTTTGAAATGTGTAGACTTAAATGTAAGTTACTTTAAAAGCTCTAAACAGAAACACTATTTACTCTTTTCTTTTTTTTTTTTTTTTTTTTTTTTGCTGTTGTTTTTGGTTTTTGCTTTTTGGTACTGGGGATTGAACCCAGTAGTGCTTTACCACTGAGCTCTATCCCCAGCCCTTTTTATTTTTTATTTTGAAATAGGCTCTTCCTAAGTTGAATCGGGACTCACTAAGTTGCTGAGGCTGGCCTTATACTTGTGACTCTTCCGCCCCAGCCTCCCAAGTCGCTGGGATTATAGGCTTGCACTACCATACCCAGCTTTCACCTTGTTTTAAAAGAAATAATGTAGTTTCAGATATTCATATCTTCTTAAAAAATTCTAAGTGACTCCATTTTCAAAAATATGTCCAGAATTAGGAAAATGAGTTAAAATTCAACTAAATAGTAGATGTTCGAACTTTTTAAAAGTTACTTAACTAAAAGATGCATGTGAATTAAAGATTTAATCTTAATTGCTTTTGCCAACACATGTTATCTATATTAAAAAGTTGTATTTGTTTTTAACAAACATTTAGCTATCTCATTCGATTTGGACAGTTTAGTTCAAAATTCACCAGTGAATTATGGGGGAAAAGAATCTAGATTCTTAAGTTATTGATTCTGAAGTTTTGAATTGGTCACACAACTACATATTAAGTGGTTCAACACTTTTCTGGGTTAGAATACTGCCTAATATAGCCAATATTCTTCATTAACTTGTATACTTCAAAAATAATTTTTCACAACTGTCTCACTATATATCCACATATTGATATGTACTTTTTTATTTTACTGGGAATATAGGTTGAATTTTGCTAATTCAAAAATACAAAATCTGAAAAACTCTCAAACTTTTTTGAATGCCAGTATAACACCACAGATGGAAAATTCCACACCTGATCTCATGTGATGGGTCATAATCAAACCTCAGGTGTACTAAATATCTTATATAAAAAATTACCTTAGGTTGTGTTTATAAGGTATTATGAAACATAAATGAACTCTGTGTTTTTTGAGTTGGATCGCATCTCTAAGATATCATTATGTACATGCAGGTACTTCACAATCTGAAAGATATGTGAGATCTCAAACATTTTTGATCCAAATATTTCAGATAAGGGATACTCAACCTTTATTAACAATTTGTTCCCATTTTCTTTACACACTTTGTCACTATTCTTTTCTACTGTTCTAAGTAATTAGCATTGTGTAATTCACCACACTTGTTAAAAGAGAGAACTTTGCTAGCTTAACTAAGTTTTTTCTCCCCTTTTTAGGTATCTCATGATGCCATCAAAATCCCCAAGTGGTTGCCTCTGTCAGAAATGCACCCTGTAGATTATTACTCTTCTTATACAAAAAACTGCACAGGAAAGTTTACAGACAAAGAAATTAAGAATATTAGGGCGTTTTATTATGCTATGTGTGCTGAGACAGATGCCATGCTTGGTAAGTGGAAAAATTAATAAGCAATTACATGAAAAAGTAGATTTTTCCAACAAACTATGAACATGCTGATTGGAACTTACATGAACATATTCAGATATTTCTTAGAACAGTTACTTAGATACTTCAGACTTAAAACTATAGGAATCTTGACACATAAAAGTGGAATAACATGTTCATAGTGAATAAGAAGCTCTAATTAGTCATAAACTCTCAGATTCATAAATGCTCAGATTTGTTCATACATGAAAGGTCACAGAAAACTATCATCTGCTAGAAACCATATTTTTTTTACCTACTTTAAAAAGAAATCGGCATTTAGCTGAACACAGGTATGCACATGACAGATAATTAATTATAAGATAGCTTAGGTTCTAAGAGATGAGAAGGACTTGTAACACCTGCAAAACAAATCCATTCTCCCTAGGCCCTTGAGTACAAGGCTTAACTAAGGCTGAAATCAATTTCCCTGTGTGTATTCTCGACCACATTTACATTGAATTTCCTGCTCTCATTCAGATTCAAGGCTGGCTAAAAACCAAACCTGTCTCCATAAGATGGCTGTCAAGAGAATTCTGCTATTTACTATAGAGTTGTGGCAGTTTCTGGTCCTTATGTGAAGAAACACTGTTTATTTTTAATAGCTGTTTCTATATTAAAAGTTATTTTCATATCACCATGTCATTTATTTTACTTCATTTGGGAGTGAAGCATAATTTCATTAGTGAAGTGTGGTTATCACCTCTGTATAGGAGGAATGGAAATTTTCCAAGTGAATGGTGGGAGAAAGGGCATTCTACACAAAAGCAGAGTATGGACAGAGGCAACATAGTGTAAACTAATATGGTATGTTCGAGGGATTCTAAGTAATTTAGGGTTATTGAAAGGTAAAGTTTCAGCAGGTAGCTGAGGATGCTGAGGCTGGAGGGTAGACAGGGGCCTTGTATATCACAGAAAGGATAGACAGTAGAAAGCTGTGAAAAAATTTTAAGTGGGGATATAACATGATTAGATGATTAGGTGTTTTAGAAAAATAGCCACCAGAAAAGGGATACTAGAGGGGAAAGAGGAGTGAATACAAGAAGACCAACTAGGAAGCAATTCCGGTTGCCCAGTTGACAGATGAGGGTCTCCATGAATAACTCCACAGAACAGTAAGTCTCAATTCTGACTGAATCTCAAAATCTATGGGGTTTTTAAATTATATAGACCCAGATTCACGAACTGCCAAAACAAAGATGACTTTTCTATCTGGACTGTGCCTTATTGTGATTCTCTTAATTATATTGAGGATGTTAAGAGATGGGACTGGTCACAGTTTTACTATCCATCTAGCTATTCCCTATCTAAGAATATGCTAAATCATTCTCATATACCATCTGTACTGCCTTCTTCAAAGGTCACATTTCCATAACCTCCCAACTTCCTGAGCATGAACTGATGTTGCTCAGAGGTTTAGGAGAAAAAAATAACAGAGGAGAGGAGTTCTAATTGCTCTTATCCCTTTCTACTGTCTAGAGGCTGTGGGTCAGTGGCAATACCAATCTCTGTGTCATCTGAGACATGTACAGTGCCAATGTCCAGACTTACCTTACTTTTCTTATTTGAGGCACTAAGGGGAAGACTTCTACCCCCAATTCTCTGACAGAAACATAGAGAGCAGGCCCGCATGATCTCCAGATAAAATAGTTTTGAGGGAGATTTCCTATGGATATATTTTTTCTTTTCTTCTGTAGTCTGTCAACTGAGGATCAAGCACATGAAACTTTGGATAATATTGAGATATTAAGAAGTATCCTTTGATAGAAGCTTTAATAGGGTAGAGTGGTTATACATGTAGTGTGATAGAATACAACATGAACTAAAAGCTAATTACTAAATTTAATCTTAATTTTATTGTAGGTGAAATTATTTTAACTCTTCACCAATTAGATCTTCTTCAGAAAACTATTGTCATATACACTTCAGACCATGGAGAGCTGGCCATGGAACATCGACAGTTTTATAAAATGAGTATGTATGAAGCTAGTGCCCATGTTCCACTGTTGATAATGGGACCAGGAATTAAGGCCAACCAACAAGTATCAAATGTAGTTTCTCTGGTGGATATTTACCCTACTATGCTTGGTAAGTAGTGTGTTCAATGTTTAACTGTATTAATGTTGGAGAATAAATAGACCAAGTAGTTAGAGGTTCCACTAACTTATTTTAACCTTGAGCAACTCATTTAACTATGAATCAAATTCATACTCTGAAAAAATGAGGATAATATTCCTCCATTTCCTGTGGCCATCACTCACTTTAGTCTTTTCCAAAAGATTAACAATCAGGATATGACTCTAAAGTAATAAATATATATTCAGGTTCAGGTCTTTACAGATGGCTTGTACATCATTTGATTCTCTCTCACATCCCTAAATATGAGCATTTTCCACTTTGAAACATTGCCTTTTTTCAATGTTATAAAAGTCTTTTAATCCGATACTGTAAACATCTCTCTCCCAAACCCTTTAGATAGTTTTGTACTATTTTCTTTAATAGCTTCTTAACATCTATAGGCATAGCCATAGGTCTAGAATAACAATATCTGGAGTGAGATAATTAGCAGTTTTCCTTGAAGATACTAGAATAATGACATCATCAAATTCAAAGAAAATTATGTAAAACTCTAATTTAACAAAGTAATTTTAATTCATTAACATTTAAAAACTGACTTTGGATTTTTGGAATCCATCAATTGCAAAAGTACCATCAATTCATAAATTTTGGTAAGACAAAAAGACAACACATTTCTCTAATTTGAGAAATGTTAAAATATAGAAGAAACATCCATCTTAAAAATCAAAGAAATAGGGCCTGGCACTGTAGCTTAGTGGCAGAGCGCTTGCTTGCCTAGCATGTGTGATGCACTGGGTTTGATCCTTAGAACCACATAAAACTAAATAAAATAAAGGCATGCTATCCATCTACAACTACAAAAAAAAAATAATAAATAAAACTCAAAGAAATAAAAGTTCATTTTATCTTTTTCCTTCTAGTACAGTCTTTCCCTTTACTTAAATAAGATTCTTTAGAGTTAATTTAACTCAGTGCCCTTTCTTTTTCTCTTTATTTCATATCATTTGTTGTATGTTTGAATATCTTTCTAGTTCCTTGAATCTTTAATCTCTTCAGTTGCTTAGTCATCATGTACTGGTTTCCTTTTATCCCAAAGTAGTCATCCCACTTATCCATAACTCGCCACTTTCTCACTCCATCAATTCCCAGACCTCTATTTCCCTCACTTGTTTTTTTAAGCATATATATAATTAAGTGATTTGTGGTGCTGGGGATCAAACCCAGAGTTTTGTGCACGTTAGGGAAGCATTTATCACTGAGTTACATCCCCAGCCATCTATGTATGTTTCTATGTGTCTATCTTATCATCTATTGAATCTTGTAAATGTATGCTGATATTGACCTTTTTTTATACTTTCCTCCCCTAATTTTTCTTTATGTAGAACTCTCATTCATTTTGGGGTCATCATTTTGCTTGACTTTTTAACTTTGTTCTCTTTCCTTGAGGTACAGTGACTAGAACTATAAAAAGTTTACTAAAAGGTTATAGAAAGCTGGGGTGATCCTTTCTCAGTGTGTCCCTTTTTCAGTGTGTCCCTCGATATACTTTCTAGTGATATTCAGCTTTTTTTTTTTTTTTTAACTCTGACAGCTTAATAGTCCAGTAACTTTGGGGAGCTGTCCAAAGTGAATCCTATTCCCTTCATAGAATTACAGAATGTCACCTTATGTATATTAGTTGATTAAGATGCATGGTTTAACTTTCATTTAAACATTGTTTTATATTTGCTTACAATGCAAATTTTGTACTTGAGTTACTATTATAACTACTTGTCATTTCTTTTTTTTTTTTTTTTTTTTTTTTTTTGGTGGGGGAAGGAACTGGGTACTGAACCCAGAGGAACTTAACCACTGAGTCACATCCCTAGTCCTTTTTATTTTTTATTTTGAGACAGGGTCTTGCTAAGCTGCATAGAGACTAAGTTGCTGAGGCTGGCCTCAAACTCCTGCCTCAGCCTCCTGAGTTGCTGGGATTACATGCATGACCCACCACACCTGGCTAACTTGTCATTTTATATAGCATAAAAGTTAAGGGTCATTTGTAGACTAGTAGATGACATATGTATTTATTAGATAATAACATTAGATACATTATTTAGATAAATACATCATTGTAATTATTTCATAATATATTTATCTAACAGATGATGTAAGAAAATACTGATTGGTATGGGGGAATTTTAGAGGGGGCACCTGCCTAGTTTATGATACTTAACAATAAAAATTTCTTTAGCTAAGAGAAAACATTCCCAGAATCACCTTTGTCTTTCCATCCCTGCTCTCCTGGAAATGGTTCTCTACAATTATCGGGTTTTTTTCTATAACTTGTCTATTACAATTTTCTAAAATTTGAAGATTTATATCGATTTTTATTTATTTTTCTCTTTCATAAGATTCTTGGTAATAGAGTCCTTCTAAGTTACATTTCCCAGAAAAAAATAATATATTTTATTAGCAGCATTTAGATCAGATGGTGATTAGACACCCACAAAAAATAAAGGATGCCAAAAATAAGTCCCACTCCAGTTCTATATAAACTGGAAATTATATTAATGTCTTCAAGGCTTAGCACAATTTAAAATGTGCTTCATAATAAATATTCTTTTGTCATCAGAAGGGGAAAAGCTACATTTATATTATTTGGGGGGTGGGGTGGGAAAAGGGAATAGAAGAGGATGCCTAGAGATAAGGTGGAAAGAGAAAGGTACAAGGGGGTAAAACATAAAACCTGTGTTGGAGCCAGGAAAAAAATGTTAACAGTGTTACTTTTTAAAAGTAAAATGATAAAGGTTTGACATCTATAAAGTTCAAGAAAAAGAAAACTTCCCTGTTAAATTAACCAAAAGATATAAATAGGCAGTTCACAATAAGAGATATACAAGATATTTTTAGGTTCAGATTCAGTAGTCATAAAACTATTAAAACAAGAACATATCATTTTTCTTTCACATATGGAGTTTACAGAGGTTAAGAAAAATTGCAAAATCTTATATTAGAAATAGGCTTTCTCATATGCTGTTGCTGGGAATATAAAATGGCACAAAGTGTTTGGAGACAAATGTGGCATTATGTTTCACATTTCTTGGAAATATGCATACCTTTTGACCTAGGAATTTCCATTTTAAAAAACAACCTATATGTGGGAAGCCACCCCTGAGCTATTTTAGCATCTTCACTGGCCTTGAGCCAAAGATATTTTGGTTTGGCATTGCAAGTCATTTTGTGGCTCATCGCACTTAATGGATTACACACTGCATGTGACCTCAGTCTTACCTGTCATAGCTCCAGAGTTGGCATAACCCATTGGGCCTGGACAGCCCACCTTCTACCTTAAATGGTGCAGAAAATTCTATGGAAAAACCTTTGATGTTTCCCCCACATAAATAAACCAAACATGGGCTCTCCTGCTCTCTCTGTTCCCAGTGTGGAAGCTTGACCCCTAAGGTGGAAGAGCTTTCTGATACTCGCTTTCTGAAATTACTTTCTGTGTAGTGTAGTTTTTTGCTGCCTTCTTTTCTTAGCTTTATGTAACAGCCAGCTCACTCCACGCAGCAGAAACCCAAATTCCACTGCCTGGGCTAGACATGGGTGGTATATATGTACTCATATATGTACCTATTTTATCTCCATGCATATTTATTAAAATATTAAGAATTATCAAACAGTGTGAATGTCTAGAAGTAATGGATTAGGTTTTAAAAAATGGAAATAGTTGGTTATATTTTAAAAATGAAATGATGTAAAAGTGATATTTTATTAAAAATAAAATATAGGCTTTCAAGTTATATAAACAGATTTTTTTGTTGCATAGAGTATCCATCTAATTTACTGTTCAGATCAGCATACTTTTTAGAATAGAGAGTATTATTAATAATTATACCAGGATTTACAGGTATACACTGAGTCTGTTCCCTTGTTTAAAAGCCATAATAGTCAACAAAGCAAAGATAATACTGATGGTCCTATATTTAACCTGGTGTTTAATTCAACCTTTTAAAGCAAAATTCTTCAGAGTTGAAAGAATTTAAAAGTACTTTAAAAAGTAGTGATTGATTCTAAAAGCATACCTGTGAGATAGGATGTTCTACTTACCTCTGCTTAATACATGTTTTGATATAGTATCTACAAAGATCTTATTTTGTGATTCTTCTAATCCATTAGAAGCTTAAAATAGTTATGAGTAATCTATTCTTAGAATTCTAAATTTAAGTTCTTTATTAGTTTAAGTGTACCTGTATTATTTTTATCAATTATGTTTACATGTGAAGAATATGGGATTGAACTTCTCAAATTAAAGCTTCCAGCCAGCCTTCCTCTTCGCTTCCATTCTATGTACCTAAAAAGATTCTTATAAGAGATGGTGATTCAAAAACCTTCAAAAGGAAGAAACTGGATAGGAAAACTCAACTGGAATTTCTGTTCTAATACACCTACCTTAGTTTCAAGAGTCTGTTGAAATTTCAGTGCTTCTATTTAAAATTTAAAAACTTCTATTATAGATAGAATATTTTATATGATATTTTTAAGTGTTCTTTTTCTATAGAATATTTTATGATAAAATAGAAAACACATAAAACATATTCTTAGTTTATTTATCCTTGTAGGTCCTTTATAGTTTCATAGTAATGTTTACTAATATTAGCAGAAAAATGTGCCATTTTCATGAGTAGGAATTCTTCATAGTATTAAAGTTCATACTTCAGAAGTTATTCTTTAAAAATTACTCACCAAAATATTTTCTTCTTGAATGCCTACTATTAGCATCCTTTAGCTCAGAAATAAAGACAGTCTCATTTTGAAATTAAAATTGTTTTGATTTTCCCTTTTAAACTTAACTTCCTATGAATTTTTTTTGTTGTAAATGGACAAAATACCTTTATTATATTTATTTATTTTTATGTGGTGTTGAGGATCAAACTCAGTGCCTCACAAGTGCTAGGTAAGCACTCTACCACTGAGCCACAATTGTAACCCCCTGAATTTTTTTATTAAATTTATTTATTCCCCAT